CCAAAAGAAGATAAGCGCTCAAGTCCATACAGCGCAGAAATAACGTCAGATTAGGGGGGGACTCTGTCAGATCCGACAGATATCGATAATAATCTTCCATGATTTCCACTCTGTAGTTGGTGCACCATATAAGAAAATCAGTAAACAGTTCATGTTCAGCATGATCGAAAACTCGCATTCTAAAAATCATGTTGACTGAATAACGGATCAAATAACTGGTATCCGTAGAAACAAATTATTGCTCAGTGAGTTATCTACATATTTGGGAACAGAACGGTGAAGGAAATGAAGACAATCCTTTAAAACTAGACAAGTATCCGACCGAGAAGTCAGTCTTCATGAGTGAGAAGAACAAGCGTAATGCTGAGAGATTGGTCATTGATGATGATATCGAGCATTTCAGTTTACTGAAGGGACTTCCTAATAATCGTGGCAAAAGGACTGTGGATCAAGCAAAGGGCACCCGCCGAAACAAACCATTAATTATTGAATTATTTGCACAATTAGAGATGACTAGGTATGCGAAAAATGGATCTGACCTGGTAAAGTGTGTTAACACTCTTGAAGACACACTGAAAAAAACTATTAATGCCCAAGAAGAACATATCAAGTATTTAGAAGTTTCACTGAAGGGTCAGCAAGAAAGGTGTGTGGAGTTGAATGAGAAATGGTACAAAGCGGAAAATCTATGCAAAGAGGTCATGACGGAGCTTGAGCATAAAAAAGAAGAAATACTGCACTATCAGCGTGAAATCGAAGCGTTCGACGGAAAATATGCTCAGCTGCTACAAATTAACGAAAAGAACCAGCACATTATTAATCATTACAGATGTACATATGATTACAGTGTTGAATCCGACACTGAAATTGTGTCGTTATACCAGCAGAAGCAAACACTAGAGCAACAGCTCCGCGAAGTGCATAATAGTATTAACGTTTACAATAATGCATATCAGAATGAAAAAGCAGAACGCAAACAGTCGGAGGACCATTTTCATCGTGAATTTCAACAAATGCAACAAAAATGTAAAGATGCAGAAGCTAGAGCAGCTGAATTGCAGAGAAAGAATAATCTGTTAAAGGATGAAGTCACCCGTTCTTGAAAAGTTCTTGGCGATACTACCAACTTGTCCATTCGAAACATGAATGAAGAGGTCAAAGAACTTGTAGCCAGACCTAGTCTCTGTAATCCGTTTGCTGAACTTGAGATGCAAAACATAATGTTACGTGATCAGAAAGCCGAGTTAGATGAACAGCTTCTCGGAGCGTGAATCACTGCAGCAAGGACTGAAACACAGTTAGAAAATCTGAACACATCTTTTCTTCATGAATTCCGAAGTATGCAACAAATGTTTAAAAACGCTGAGGCCAAAACATCTGAATTACAGAATCTACTAAAGAATGAAGTAACCCGTATCAGAGCTACACTTACCAACAATGAGAATACTTACTCTGTTCAACTAGTAAAGGATATTGTTAAACTGCAAAATAAATTAAAAGAGTTTACTCAACTAGACAATGAGCAAATTGCCCTCATTGAACAAAGGGTCACGGGGCTGTTGCAGAATTATCAGTGTCTAACTGGTTCTCCAACAAAGTCAATCGTCAGCGGTGTACTGCAAAGGTATATTATTGAGAAAGTGCTAACATGGGCGAATGCATATTTCAAGCTATGTATCGAGGACCTGAATAAGAAAACTCATAACGAGCTTGCGCAGTGCAATAAGGATGAACTAGACAAGTTTCTGGAAGGAAATATCTTGAGGATAACAGCAAACCTGTACCGTTCTATTAAAGAGTTTTCCAAGAGACGTAATGGAGAGGATGAACTAACACATGTGATGGGAGCAAAGATACATCAGCAAGTATATGCTGTACTTGGCAGCTGTGGTTTTGCATCAGTCGATCATCTGTTTGTGGTAAAGGCCGTGAAAACCTTGCTGAACGAGCTCGACAAATACCGCCAGTTTAAGGATCAATCAAAAAAGAAAGATACCGAAGAATTAGCATCTTCCATCATCCTTGAGACTGTTTGTATATTCCACTTTAAATTCCAGGCCCAAGTCCCCGTCGTCGAGTATCATTTCTTCGAGAGCAGAGACAAATTCGATCCCATGACGATGGAATGCATTCAAGAGGATGATGAAGATGGTGAAAAGCAATTTGTTGAGATATGTTCATTCCCACTGATTGGGGCGAATATTTTTACTTTGGACAAAGGGAAGAGACAGATTTTCAGCAGAGCGAAAGTCCAACTGAGACTGGATTCTTCTATCGATGGTAAATAGTCATAATCGATCGCAATAAACAGACTTACGAGTTGTAAGAAGTTTACTTGGTGCTCTTCATTCATACATCCACCTCGGCTCTTTATTACCAAGACCGGGTCAGTTACAAAGACTGTTTCAATACAATAAGCAATTGTAATAATGGCATTTACATTGTGTAAATTCAATGTTTTATTCGAACCTTTTTTGCAACCTGTGCTCCAACAAGCTAAGGAATTGACGATGAAGTCCACATGTATTTAGAACTGTGGGCGTAATCACTGTATATATATCTTCCATGTTATATTGTGCCAAATTTTGTTGAGATGCGCAAGAGACAATTACTATAGTAATAGAATAGCATAATCTCATTTTATTTTATTTTATTTTATTTTATTTTATTTTATTTTATTTTATTTTATTTTATTTTATTTTATTTTATTTTAT